GACCTACACCAACAAAAAAAAAAAAGTTTGCTGAGTAACAGTGAGCTTTTTTTTTGAACACACACAGTGTTTCATTTTTGCCCAGCCCAAATCCAGTAACAAAACTACTTGTTATATGTTGTGCTTGAGATTTCAAAACAAGGGTGAATTTTAATTGTAGCTGCTTTGTCCCCAGATCAATTCCAGAATATAGAGGAAAGAATTGCTTTTATACCTGAAACATGGATATTAATTCAGATTTAAATAAACAATGTATAATCTTCAGAATAAAGTCAAGAGAAATGCGATTTGTTTCAAAACAGTCAGTGCGGTAGGTAAAGGTGTGTGTTACAACAGCAGTATGTCTCAGAATTTCATTCACACTGTAAGCCTGACTGATCCATTCCTACCCAGGACTCTAGTAGAAGATGCGTCAATTCTGATATTTGAACATTTAACTTATTTACATGTACCTTTACTGGTACCTACATTTTCACCAGCTATCTGGACCTTGAACAAGCATGATGACAAGGTCCACTACAGTGGAAGGCCCCGTGGACCCTTATTTTGTTCAGGCTTGGATAGGAATCTAACACCTGTCAAGGTCTGTGTGCCCTAAGATCCTCTGAGTCCTAATCCCAATGCCTATTTTTCCTTTGAAGCTAGCTTTGCTGGATGAGCATGCTTCTGCAGGTATTGACTGCGTATCAGCTATAATATGCTCTGTTGCATGTACTTCCAGAAGAAACCAGACTTAGAGAAAGTGAGTATGGAAAGTTGTTGGATCTTTGGGACTTCCTTGATTAATTAAAAGTTCAGGTGTGTAGATGGACTTGTGAGGAGTTACAAGAACACAAAAAGCTCCAGAAAAAGTCGACTAAACTCACAAGTAAAGCTTTCTAGTTTTTGAAGACTCTCTGAACCTAAAAACAAACAACACATTTGACACATATGGAAGTAATACCGACTCCAAGCAACCCAAAAATCAATTTCAAACTAAGTTGATAGCAAGACAAAAAAATTAAAAGCTTAATCAATATTAGATACGAAAGATTATCTAAAATATTTGTAAAAATTCTTTTCAAAGTTTAAACACCTCAAATGAGAACCAAACCAAAACCCACAAAACTTCCCTGAACTTGCATTCAGATTCAGGCTGACAGTATTTATCTTGTAAATATTATCTTACAATAATTTCTTTCCTGGGTCTGTGGTGAGGCACATGTGATCATTGCATAGCATAGCGGTACACAATCTAAGTTGGTCTGTGGGCAGTAAAGTAAAGAAAGAAGGGCAGAACAGCAAAATTCTACTTTCATTTCCTGTCAACCCCAGCTTTAATTTTAAAATTCATGACAGTATGGGAAAGAGAGCCCTACATGCAACAAGTTTCTTGTGAACCATGGTACCATTAATGTCTAAGATGTAATTTGTTGGTAAAGTCTGTTAATTCCTTTTAAATTCCTGAGAAAGAATTAGTGACTTCTGTGCATTTGAATTGCTTGATTGTTGTAAATGTCCTTGTCTGCTTTTGTCTTCTCTGTCAACTTAGGATAATAACTCTGGCTGTTACCAACAATCTGGATTCATGGATGTGCAATTCCCCAACTCACTCATGCAGATAATGTATTCACCCTATAACACTCTATTTCAGTTTCAGGACAGTGATGGTTGGAGCGGAATAGTTGCCACAAGTAAAAGTAATGAACCATTTAGCAGTTATACTGCAGTCTGTTGTAAACTATCTAATGTGTCTTTCTCTTTCACTATCCATCTGTAGCAATAATCATGTAAGACAGTCTTTGAAACAGTGGCACAAGCAAGTGACTATAGCAGGCATTAAAACTCTAGTTAAACTTATCATACCATTTCTGACATTGACCTCATTAATACAACTGTATCACATCTGATTGTTAAAGACAGAGTGCCTTTAGATGTTATAGTTCTTTGGTGAGTATAGAATACAGCAGTGAAGAGAAAGTAACACGTTCTAGTTGTGATGAGGAATACAATAACCCATCACCATAGCAAAGAGCACATTTTATTTGAAAAATACGAATAAAAGATTTTGTCCCTTTTGTTTATTAAAAGAAAATGTAACAATTTCTATCAGTAACACTTGCATAAGGAGGTATACTTTACATAACTCTTTTGTTAAAAAAAATATATATATTTTTGGAGACTTTGGAAAAATAAGGATGGCCCAAAACTTGCAACACACTTCTAATATTCCTTAGAATGCACTGTGCCATTTATATGTACTGCAAGTACAAGGTCTTAGTAGTTTATAACCCACAAAATAAACCCAAGCAGCATAATTTCATATTCTTCTTTGCATTTAGAATATTCCCTTTGTTACCCTTGTGTGAGTTTATGAGTTTGATTAATTTCAGACTGGTCCAACACTTAGATTTTTCTAAAAGATGATTTTAAGAAGCCTGAGACCACAGAAATTTTGTAATTCCTTTCAAATACCAGTGACAATGCTTTCACATAAATATTTTCTTTCAGTATTCCCAAGTTAAACAACTGCATCAATTATAATTCAAACCCAAAAATGTTTGCAATTATTTTGGTTTTTTACGAAGAATGCAAAAAATAAAGTGCATAACAGAGTGAAATTACTTTCAACTTTTACAGTGTTCTATGTGTATGTAATAAAAGATAACACTGATAAACAAGGTAATTTGCTTCCAATGTTTGAATCTTAATCTAATGCCAGTTGAATTCAAGCTCTTCCTTGTATTTAAAGTGCATTAAACTACATTTTTGACAGATTTTAGTTTGACAATATAGTTTCACATTTTAAAATTCTTATACTGACCATTTTCTCAGATGACTTGTCAAGATTACAGCATACTGAGTGCCCTCACTATCACAAGAAAGAGGAATACAATTACTTATTTTGGTGCAAATGTACTATTAGTTGAATAGCTGTTGCAGAAATCAAATTGTTAATGGGAAAGCCCTTAAATTATACTTTGAATTTGCCATTTAACTTTACTCAGTATCTTCCAGTTTAAGTAAAACTGGCACTTTTCAGCATTTAGTTGTTATGCAGCAGCAGGATTACTATTTAGGCAAACAGGAAAATATTTCAGAATATGAGTACAAAAAAGAACCATGAAAGCTTTAAGCAAAGTCTGTATAATCGGACTCAACCATAAGCTAGGAAAGTTTCCCACAATACTTTAACTGAATGTATATTTTTTTCAAATTAGCAATGCTACAAAATATTGTGCTGTCCATGGCATATAGTATTAACTTTCTTCCACTTTAATCTAGGTTAACATAGAAATTCTCAAATATAGTTTAAATTTGTTTCTAGGACACAAAGGACCAAAGGAAAATATTGTGGGATAGGGATAAAAAATCCGTAAACCTGTTCTTTCTGCACTGTGAGGCCTTTTTCTGCGACCCTGAAGATTTAATATTCTGCTATTTGTCATGCAAACAACACGACACTGTGATGCGTATTTGAGTAAAAAACAGTAAGCATAGCAAGCATGCAGACATCTCATGATAAAAAGCACATTTGGAGATCACTGTGAATAGGACATAAAACAGGACACACCGCAGCATCACAGAAGCAGCGTCTCAAATAACCCTGCAAAGATTAAGGGACTCAGAACTCCTGGGTCTGGGGGTATGATGCACGTGCTGTACAGCAGCAAAGAGAGCACCGGGAATGGTGAAAAGGGGATTCTTATTTCTCTGAGATATTATTAACTTAAATAGAACATTAGTGTAAGGAGGGAATATTTGCTTATGTCGCTGCACTTCTGTTGCCTTTAAGCCTGAATGTTCTATGATGCAAATAAAAAAAAGCAGTGGTGGGAACACTGCTTAAAACACAAAATACTATTGATTTTTCCTGCTTTGGTGTAGGGCCAGATGGAGCAGACATAAAGATAACTAATACCTGCTTCTCAAAACTATAATACAACAATAAATGCAATTTTCATGCAGATGTGGTACAAAGTATCATAGCCCATGGTAGTAGTAATGCTAAAAGATTTTCTTTTTAACACTCTACTCATACAATATAAAAATTTAGGTGTTGGCATAAAGCAAGTGTGACCTAAATAAAAAGAAAACCTCCAAATAAAATCGAACACTACTAGTTCCTTCATTTGGGACAAAACTGAAACATATCCTAACTCTACCCCCCAAAAAACCAATATATAGGCCATTCTCAGCTTGTGAGAGCTGCATTTTATTGCATTAAAACATCTGTTTAACCTCACCCTACAGCAAAAATGTCTTCTTAAATGCATTTCTAGAAGATTCTGTATTTGTTAAAAAGTAAAAAAAAATCTTAACACAAATTATTAAACTACTTTCAAACCATCAGCAGAACATTTATAGTTCAGGAATTTTTCCCTCCTAAGTTTTCTCATGGGTTTAAATGCTGAAAGAAAGGAAAACAATTTTCAAACAAAACAGCATAGTAAAAGCCAGTTCTAGAACTACAGTGCAACTAATACTTTTTAGAGTGTGGAAAGTTTCTTGCAAAGCTACTGACTAATTTTTCCAGAAGGCTGTTTAAGCCAAAAGCAGTCAACTACATCTCAGGAAGCAGTTCACTAAAAAAAAAAAATCCCCTCAAAGTAGGACTGATCAGAAGTTTCAGTCATGTCTAGGACCTGTGCAACCATAGAGTAAAGAAAGGAAGGTTTAATAATCTGGTTCAGCTGTGTGGCCCACAAAAGGTCATCAATAAATATAGACCCTGCTTTACTAAGCTGAATGTAAGTGGCACCTAATATGGAGAGGGAGGGATCTAGAGGAGTATACAAAATGGTATCACTCTTTACGCCAGACCAGAGTAAAAAAACAATACACAGTTTCTGCTCTGGACAGTTTTCCTATCAAATGCATACTGCAAGAAGTCCACTTCCCCAAGCGGAACTACAATTTTCTTAAAAGCAGAGGATTGTAATAGACTGTGAACCTTATAGGTCATAATCTTTCATGTGATATTTTGAGTTCCTGGTCCTCTCACAGTATTATCACAAGAAACACAAGCAAAAAATCAGAGTCTGCTGGATGAGTTGTTAAGCAGCCCGCAGTGTTAAGCAGAACTGGTTAGCAGTTCTGCAATGCAATAAAGTTACTAACATAAGAAACCAACTTATTTAATCCATATGATCCACAATAATGATACATTTCCTCCGCTGACTTTAAATGTTCTTGTGATGCTTGAAATAGGGGGGAAAAAGCCTGTTCTGCTTAGGTGGAAATTAAGATAAATAAATATAATTAGATTGAACTAAAAAGAAAAAAAGTATCTTCATCTTATTCTCTTTGTTTCAATTTTTGCTATCCCAGTGGCCTAACAGCAGCTCAGTTTTGCTTTTAGTCACACACAGAAACAGAAAGACATTATGATTAAGAACTCTACGTTTTAAACTGAGTGTTGTAGCTCCTGGACTCAGACCAGCAAAAGACAAAAACCTTCAGCTCTTAAGTGAAGCACAGTGAACCAAACAACTGCACAGTTTAATGGTGCTGCCATTGTTTTTATCGAAAGAGCCTACACTTCATCTGCTTCGCTGCATAAAGAGCACTTTGGGCCCATTCTATTTAAATGAATGATGTTCCCGTAAAAAGACGAAAAGAAAAAGCACAACACTGTAAACAACATTTCCTTCAGCACACAGTAGTAGCAGAGCAGGTCTGCGGTTAGAGCCATGTTTGAGCTACAGCTAAGGATGCCCTCCATCTCTTAGCTGGTTATGGACGACAGGATTATGAAGGACATTATGAAATGACAGCTTCTCAATGCAATGCTAATTCAATAAGATTAAATCATCAAAGGACCATTTATTTAAGACTACAGGTGTGTCTTATCACCTCTGTAAAGGAAATAGACTGGTAGCACTTCTCACACTGATAGTAAACCCCACTGGCTACCTCACACAGAGATCACAAGGCCTAGAGCATAGATAGAAATGCAACATTACAACCACCTGCAAGATATTATCTCCTCCATTAGCTATCTTCTTAAACAGACATGACCATAAACTTACTGTAGCTTGGAGATGTTATGCATATTGAAATAAAAATTTCATTGCTTGGCTTTACTGTAGGTATTGTTGTAGATACGATACCACAGACTTTATTGAGCAATTAAAAAAAGTACACAAGGGACAATAGATTTTTCTGTATTTTTCAAAATTTGATTTTCTTCCAATTGGAGAACCCAGTTTCAAATATGAAAAGGGCACTTGTTCTACAGTAACTGCATACAACTTAGTTCCAAGTACTGTATTCACTTTTTTTTTGTTACCGTTGCTGTCATTATATGTCCAGTTGTTTAGGAACTTCTCTGTTTTGGGAATTACAACTAAGTTGTTCTTTCTGATTCTATTTCTCCATAGAGTTCAGCTAGCTTCTTGAACTCAGGTCCCCAGTCTCCAAGGTAATTATAATCCTGGTCAGAGTGTGTTGTGGCTGAATCCAGAGAGCTGATAGATCCAGCTTCTGATCTATGACCCTCGTAGGCATATGTCTGCAGGGAGTCATACGGTGGCACACTGGGGTCCAGATCAGCCTCTGCTAGTCTTTGTTTAATGAACTCCTGAACATCTATACTGTCAAGGCTTGAGGAGAGATGATGTCTGGACACAGGCTTCACTTCAGGACGAACGTCCCTCCGGTATTTAAGCTCTTCAGCAGCAGATGGATTCCGCAGTGCAGTGATGTCAAAGGCTTCTGTGTCTTCCTCTCCACCACCCTCATCATCATATGTCACAACATTTTCCCGGACATCTTCTTCTGAGATGATCAAGGGCTCCTTCTTGCTACGTCTTAAGGTGATGAAAAGGACCACAATTGCTAAAGAGAAAACTGCAGATATTAGAGTAGGTTTAAAGTTTACCTCTGAATACGCTGCAGAAATAGCAGTCAAAAATACAGTCATGTTTTATTTTCAGGCTAATATTGGTATTTGGGATCATCTGCTACTTAGATTATTAGGGATCCCAGAAAGGACATAAATGGAGATAACATCCTTTCCAAGTAAATGAGAAATGACTAGAGCTGACATTTTTCAGGAGCATAGTCCACAGCTTTCAGTGTTTCACTAAAACAAATATTTAGTATATCAATTGAGTTAACATGCAAAAGATTTATTTCTTCTCTTATGAATATATGATTTTGTATAATAAAATGCAAAATTATAAGCTAAATATATTATTATATATTTTAAAACAGCCTTCTGGCAAGGAAATTCTGAAGTAAGCTGCAAGGAAAGAAGTCTAGAAAATCTCTGAAAGAACATTTGGAAAAGAGTTTTTGGGGAAAAAATCCTCTAAATCTCCTGTGTGGGTCATGCTGCAATTACCATTATTTCTTGCCATCTCTATAAGAACGTAGAAAGGCGCATGAGTAGCACAGAGATATGTATGCAGCAAGTTGTGTCTATGACAGAAAAAAACCCCAAAACAAATCAACCCCCCCCAGCACCTCAATATTAACTAGTGCGTTAAATTCAAATTGGCCTGGGAAACAAACAAACAAACAAACAATAGTCAAGAGAAAATGCACTTGTGATGGCATTTATCTTATGGGTCAGTTTATAGTCTCACATGTCCCTCACCCCTGTGGATTATGTTGTGCATTGCTATCATTTATTCTACAAAGGTAATTAAGATATGGCTTTTGTACAAGTGCTAATGGTGCTTCTTGCAGTGTAATACATTTCAAAAAGCTTTCCTCATCTCTTTTCCATCATTTTTCACACTGTTCTAGACATGGAATTAGAGTCAGTTGCTTTTTGAAATATTTCCAAATTACAGAAAAAAAGATCCACAGAGCTAATTACTTGATAACTTCTGAAAAATAATTTCTAGTAGATTCCAGATATTCCTGGATGTACTTTAAAGGCATTTTCCCCTACTAATTTTAGCTAAACCTTTCCCCCCCAATCACAGCTATCTGTTTCTAATTGCCTCCTACTACCAGGTGACCACTGGTTCAAAGCATACCATATTAAAAATTTCTGCCCTGCCACATTCAGAGAGCCAGTGGAGGGAGAACATTACTTAATACTGAGAATGGCTTACCAAGAAGAATGACAACACAGAGTAGGATTGCGATTAAAGCTCCCGTGCTCAAGCCAGCCGAGGAGAGGAAAGCTTCAGCATGGCAAGTTCTCACCCGTCCATCTCTCTCGCATGCACAAACCCGAATGGTGAGGGTACTGCTGCTGCTGAGAGGGGGCACTCCACCATCGGAAATCAAAACTGGGAGGTAATAGGTGTCTTGAGTGGTTCGACTGTATCTCCGTCGTCTTGTCAAGATACTGGCTGTATTATCTACAATATTATAAAAAGAACAGCATTTCAGTGAAGTAAAAAATGAAAAAAAAGTTATTGACTATTTGTTTCTGATCAAGTGAAAGCATGGGACATCTTAAAACTGGACAGTCCTAATCTCTGAAAACACACAATCTAGTATTAAAATTTGTCAGGAAACATCTATTCCCAACAGAGGAAAAAGAGGAGCCAGTGGAAAGTAATTAGCATGATATAAGTTTATTTAAAACTCTTGTACTTTTATTTGAATGTAAATGAACTCTGACAAACATTTGAGGTCCTGTTTGTAAGCGTTTTAATCCCATGTTATGCTGTTGGTAGTATATGGACAGTCATCGATTTGAATATCTGTAATTCTGAGGATATTTGTTATGGAATTTTTCCACAATGCATAATCATCTTGATTCTCAGAAGAATGTTTAAGGATCTTTATTAAAAGCTCAAATGGGACTTTCATATTTTACTGTTTGCAACAGGTTTTAAAGTTCAAATGAGCTTTCAGAAAAACTTCAGGAAGGACAGTGGCCAAAGACTCATGATGTAGAGAGGTTAGGGGGAAGTGGAAGGGGAGAAGGATGGAGGAAGGGAAGGGAAAGGAATGTAAAGGAAGGGAAAAGGAGCAGATCTGACATGTTCTAAACTAATGAGGTTAAACGTAAGCAAAGGGGAGATAGTGACACAAGATTTTGTCACCATCGTTACCTATAGGTGCATTTGGCACATATTACTCAAGGAGAACTTAATATTTATTATGCACACGTTGCAAGAGCATTTGCAGGCACTAACAAGTATAGGAAGTTGCTGCACATATCCCTTTGAGTCCAAGAAATTAAGGGGCATAAAGAAAATGTGGGAGAAGAAATGCTACAATAATACATTGATATGTGTAAAATTTATTTTCAATTTGTTGCCACCACTTTAAAAGTACTAGCTCTTCAATAAAAGTACAAGACAAATCAAGCAAAATTGGAGACAGTAAAGACCAGAGACATGAGCAGTTATGGAGAGAGAGAGAGATAAGGACTGATAAATGGAAAGAGAGATTAGAATAAAAGAGCTTTCCTCTCGTACTGCTTGTCCATGACTTCCAAATTGTGGGACTATAAGCTTGGAATTTTTTAGCAAAAAACAAAGGGACAATGAGTACAAAAAGACATCTGCCAGGTTTCTCTCCCTATTACAAACAAACAAGACATTTTCTTCTTTTTCTTTGCCACTGTAGCTACAGCATTGAATGGACTTATATAATCTATAGAAAAATGAAATCTGTGTTGCTTCGTGAAAATTTAGCACAACAATACAATTAGTGTGGCATATTTTAGCCCATCTGACAGATGCATGCATATTTGAATAGAGGAGTTAAACACTTTTGTTTTAACTGGATAAACACTCTTTTTCAGATGACTACTCTTCATGCCACACCTTCTATCAAGCTCTGTGCAAAATTTAAAGCATTTTAACCCACTTCTGCCAACTTTTTATTTTGCATATCGTCTGACAGTGGTACTGAGAAAAAGTGCTGGTATAACCCCACATAATGTCATAAATTTGGTAAAAGGTTTTGTCATATATAATGTCATATATTTGGTAAAAGGTTTCACCCAAGAAATATATTTATGAGCTGGGAAGTGATGCCCTTACTGCCAGGCCAAGAACTGAGCACTAAAGTTCTTTACTTCTCCACAGGAACACCACCCATACACCCCGATTTTCTTGAAAATATCCAACATGGTGAGTTTGTGATAAACTCATTAAGTGTTGATCTTTAGTTAGTTAGTTAGCTAGCTAGCTAGTTAGTTAGTTAGTTAGTTAGTAGCTGTAGGCCCTGAAGCCCTATTCTACATGTTTATGTCAAGGTATACTTTTGATGACTGATGACATCAGCCTCTTATTATGCTGTTTATATTAATTTCATTTACAGAACCTTACTGAAGCCAGAATTAGATGAAAAGATAATCCTTTCATCTGAAAAAATCTGACACTGTGTAAGACCATAATGTTGTGGAAAAGTTATGATGCCTATGATAAAACATGCACTTACAAAGTTATTTAATATGCAAACACCCTTCCCTCAAAATAAAAAAATGGGTTTTCATTAACCTGGAGGACCCCAACACAGAGCTGATTAAAAGATTGGCAGTAAATAATTTTTTTTTTTTTTTAATATAGGGTTGTTGAAATGATTCCTATATACATATAGCATATGACACGCAGAATTATTCTTTCATTTTTATGAAAACTGTGTTAAACTTTGACTTTTCTCCATATTGCTTAATCTGGTCTGATGAAATCTTATAACAGTACACTGTGGTATTCTCATTAATGATGATTTTTTTCATTATCTAACGGTTAAGAAATAAATTATTTCCACATTATTCTGCTACTAGACAAGGGAGCAAAGTGTTTAGTATTATAACTGAGTTAATTGATTGAAGAAATGAAGCCTGGTATCACAGAAATTCAAAACGCATTTATTGTATAAAGAATATATATATATATATATATATATATATAAAATAGAATGAGCAGGGGCCTTAAAGTCAAAATTATAGCCATATTTTTATATATATCTCTATCTCTATCTCTATCGCTATCTATATCTATATATATATATGTATATAAATATAGCCATAATTATAGTCACTATAAAGCCATCTTCACCTGTGGAGGTCTTGCTAGACTCTGCCAGACTAATGCTAAGCTATATGAAAAGTACCAAGTTTTATTTCTCAAATTTTGACCAGCTCACTTTTAATACATCTATGGTCTTCTACATTTAATTAAATACTGCACATGAACAGTCTCAGAGACATAGTTTAAAATACTTCTAGAGTAAGCAAATAATCCTATGCAACACAGATTATAAAGAGGTAGATTGCCTGAATATCTTTTAATTTTTTAACATGCATATGGATAAAATTAGCAGGTAAAGTAAGCAATTGTTTTATCTTTCTCATACACAGTGTTGCATTAAAAATGTTTTGTTTTTTTCTTTTATAATATCTTGTCTATTCACTCCACTCTACTTTTTCTTATACTAGCTAGATTGTAAGTCCTAACTTCCCTAATACTCCTGGAGGACACAGATAAAATCTTTAATGTTTCAAAGAGGAAAGCCATCACAGACTATAAAATGACCTCCACCTTTTCTGCTTTTCATCTGTCCAAGCAGTGGTAGACTGAGCTCTAGATACAGTCCAAGAGGAGAAATAAACTCACATATCTGTGATTAGTAGGGAATTTCAAATTAATGCATATTTTGCATAAAAAGAAGTTAATGTTTGCAGTATATATACAAGGTGATGAATTCTGCCTTTCTACATCAGAAAAAAGATTCATATCATCACATCCTCCATGTGCAGGAAAAAATCCACTGATTTTCTGGTTTTTCAGAATCTAATTTATAAATTCTTCCCTTTCTTGAAATGCAACTTATTACAGATTATTAGCTGAGCTCTTCTCTAGCAACTTCCCTTTTTATCTCCTGCAGTTGCTGGTTGTTAAACAAAACAAGACTGGGGAAAGATAGGATCCCCATACCGATGAATTTTAGTGCTCTCCCTGGTATTTTGTTGATCTGGGCAAACTAGGACACCCAACCACAGTCACTGTTATTATCATACACCAGGAACCCTTTTCAGCTGGCAGTATGGACAAGAGTGCACCAGGTTTGTTTCTTCCCACTTTTCACTCAATAATGTGTCTCAACATTATTCAAACAGCCTGTGGATCCTTAAGGAACCCTATATAGGCACATGCTACACACACCACAACACACTGTGGCATGTACATTTCTCTTGTGACATGATAACACTAAGCTGTTAGGCTGCAGTACAATTTTCACATTATTTCATACAGTAAAAAGAGAAAAACCTCATGATAATGAAATCTGGGCTCCACTGGATTCTACAAAGGCTCTAGAGGAGATACAAGGCCAAGTGTTATTACTGAGGACAATCATATGTAAAGGTATGCCAACAAAATGAATGAATAAAAAAAGTTTAGCCAAACTTAAGTATTGACTACATCTTGACAACTATTCTGGTATTTTAAAGTTTCAAATTCTAGTTGTTTTCATTTCCTATCAAAAACCATTGTAGGAATACACTGAGAGAGGAGCTAGAAAGACAGCAACTTTTAAGAGGAGGATCATACCAAGAAATAAAAAAATCTTGCAATCTGTAAAACCTACAAGAAGCCAAGTATAATGACAGACACTGATGACCTAAGAAAGAATTTACTGAGGTGGGACAAAAAAGTTATATCAACAGAAGTCCTTTGAAAGGTAGTTGGGGGGTTATGTATTGAGAAATTTCTTTGATATCTGAAAAGAGATACAACAGATAGACAGGGAAGACAAGGGTATAGGATAGCAGCAATAGCATTAAGATGATGGAGCTAGAGATCTGATTCTTCTAGGCCTGGAAATAGAACTTTTTTGTCTCATTAGATTTAAATAGTGAACTTCTGAGGAGTATGTTATGAACCAGGATACATTAGAGATGAAAGGACTGACATCTGAAGAAAATTAACAACTCTGATATAAGGAAAGAAATATTTATCTGATTACTTGTGGTGCTCATTGCACCATGTAATGATCTAAACTTTCTAATGTTCTAAACTTTTTCATATTTAGGCTGTTCTTCGCAATTATGGCAACTAGAACTAAAGATTCTCTTCAAGTGAGTTTGAGGTTACACATGGAATATTCTGCATGACTCTAATGCAGAAGCTCTTCACACTCTGAAGAAGGTTTACCAAGCCAGACTGTACTTTGCATACAAGGCTGTTAACACAGTCTTTTTCCACCATATCCACCTTTTTACACTGACCGTCTGAACTAAGAAAAGAAAGGAGGGCATAGGAAAATCAAGGAAGCAGAGATGCAATGATAACACCATAGAAAGTGACTACTGGAGCACTTCAGAGGATGTTCATTTACTATTCACAATTTGAGTATTCCTTTGACATATTATACATTACAAGCAGAGACAAGAGAA